CGCAATGCACTGTGGGAATGCCAGAGATGTCCACGTTGGGCTGAAAAGCCTGGAAGTGAACAGTGGCCGTTGCTTGTGGGACACGTGAGGCCTGAAATTATCCTGCAGCCCCTCCCTTGTTTGCAACGTGGTAAGACTTGTAGCTGCTGTGTGCGGGTGGGCTGCTGCCCGTGAGCCCTGCCTTAGATGCACTCAATATGTTAGTCTTTCTTTTTTGTTAACATTTTTATTGATTTCAGAGAGGGAGAGAGAGAGAGAGAGAGAGAGAGAGAGAGAGGAACATCAGTGATGAGAGAGGATCACGGATCGGCTGCCTCCTGCACGCCCCCTACTGGGGACAGAGCCCGCAACCCGGGCATGTGCCCTGACTGGGAATCAAACCGTGACCTCCTGGTTCGTGGGTCGACGCTCAGCCACTGGGCCACGCCGGCCAGGCCACTGTGTCATTCTTGTGGGATCTTGTGGAATCTACACGCAAACACGGCCACCCTCGGTCCCCTAGGTCATCCCGGCCAGGCTGGCATTCCACAGGGAGTTAGGGTCCTTTCCCCCCGAACTCACCAGAGACAGAACTGTTTTGCTAGAATCTTAGTGCTGGTCACACGACAAGGCCCGTTCAGCGGAGACTATTTCTAGGAAAACCAATTCTTGTTCATTCTCTTCTGTGAGGTGAGGTGGGGAGGCGTAAGGTCGGGGGCGGGGTGTATGTAGGTACACCAGCCTTGCTTTTTTAAAAAAATATATGTTTTTATTGATTACAAAGAGAGGAAGGGAGAGGGAGAGGGGGATGGAAACATCTGGAAAGTTGAGGCCCTCATCGGGGTGAACAGAAAGAGGCCCACCCTAGCCGGTGTGGCTCAGTGGATAGAACATTAGCCTGTGGACTGAAGGGTCCCGGGTTCGATTCCGGTCAAGGGCACGTACCTCGGTTGCAGGCTTAACCTGGTTGGGGCGTGTGCGGGAGCCAACCAGTTGATGTGTCTCTCTCACAGCGATGTTTCTCTCTCTCTCTCTCTCTCTCTTTCTCTCTCTCTCTTCCCCCCTCCCTTCCACTCTCCCTAAAAATCAATGGAAATATATCCTCGGGTGAGGGTTGACAAAGTTAAAAAAAGAAGAAGCGCACGGCACACCTCTTAGGACAGTGGTGTTATGCTCTCGGGGCTGTTGGTCCTCGGGAAAGGAATGAGCCATAAAAGATAACTTGTTTGCAGAAGGATAGTAAAATTCCAAGTGAATTCACGCGCGTTCAAGCAGTCATATTTGTGCAGCGGCCTCGTCCAAAAATAATTTGGAACGGCCGATTTTCCGGTAACATGCAGACGCGCGGAGTCATAAATAACTTAGGGATAAATCCTTGCTGTTCATAAACGCCGCGAGCTGTGCTCCCCCCGCCCCCCCAGCCCGGTTTTCAGTTTCCGGGCCGGGCCGGGCGACCCGGGACAGGTGCCGCCTCCGTCTGGAGCGAAGGTCCTTCTCCGCCCGTCTGTTCCTCAAAGAGGCTTCGTAAACACCAGGGCGAAATGGTAACGTTGGAAGGCGCCATGGCCAATGCTCAGATGCGTTTCCCGCGGAGAAAGGCAGCCTTTCTTCTTCGTGAGGGTCTTCGGGGTGAACGAGGGCAGGCTGAGAGTGATCATTCTTTTTTATTGAAGGAAAAAAAAGACTTTTTAAAAATATATATACACATAGATAATTTTATTGATTTCAGAGAGGAAAGGAGAGGAAGAGAGAGAGAGAAACATCAATGATGAGACGAGAGAGAATCATGGACCGGCTGCCTCCTGCACGCCCCCTCCTGGGGATGGAGCCCACAACCCGGGCATGTGCCCTGACCGGGAATTGAACCCTGACCTCCTGGTTCATAGGTCGACGCTCAACCACTGAGCCACAGCCTTTCTTCTTCGTGATGGTCTTCGGGGTGAGTGAGGGCAGGCTAAAGTTGGTCATTCTTTTTCATTGAAGAAAAAAAAAAAGGAAGGGTTTTGGGGTTTTTTTGTTAATCCTCACTTGAGGACATTTTTCCATTGATTTTTAGAGAGAGTAGGAGGCGGGGGAGACAGAGAGAGAGAAACATCGATGTGAGAGAGACGCATCCACTGGTTGCCTCCCCCACACACCCCAGCCAGGGCCAGGGATTGAGCCTGCAACCGAAGTACGTGTCCTTGGCTGGAATCGAACCCAGGACCCTTCATTCCGTGGGTCGACGCTGTGTCCCGTGAGCCAAACCAGTTCCGGTCAAGGACATGTACCTTGGTTGCAGGCACATCCCCAGTAGGAGGTGTGCAGGAGGCAGCTGATCGATGCTTCTCTCTCATCGGTGTTTCTAACTCTCTATCCCTCTCCCTTCCTCTCTGTAAAAAATCAATAAAATAAAAAAAGATTACCTTTAAAAAAAAAAAAAAGGCTTTTTGAACATTTTCGTATGCAACAGGGAAGTCCCATACCAAGCCATCTCTACGTCAGTTGCATGCATGTTCCCATAGGGGGCGCTGCACGGCGCCCCCATTCAACACTGTCGCTAACCAGGCGGCCTTCCGGCACCGGTTTGGGTATTCCGCTATCGTCTCCCCCGGAGCAGTCTTAGAAGCCAGGTTACCCTGTTCCCACTGACTCTGCAGCTCCGTGTGTGGGAAAAGCCAGAGTTGGGGGGCGGGTGGAGGGGGGGTGCTGAGATGAGGGCAAGGGAGCATCCTTTCAGCCCAACAAGAGGGTCTGGCTTCTCCCTCTCGCTCGCCTGGCAGAGACCCAGGCAGCAGGGCTTTGGGCAGCGGCTTCAGCTTGAAAACTCTGAGCTGAAAGGGACCCTCAGGGGCAGGCCCCCCGCCCCCCTCCCCACCCCACCCCCAACCCGGCCTCAGGAGGGAGGGTAAGGCGTTTCAGAGATTCTGCCGAAACCCAGCCCGCTGACTCCCCTCAGTGTGGGTTTCCAGGCCCGGAGCCAGGTTCTCTCCACTCACACACTCCGGGCCCTGAAGACACAGGTCGGATGTGACTGTCATGCTGATCGCGTCATTAGCCGGATGAATGAAATCGCTTAAATGCGAGAGAGTTGGCTTGTGGGGTTTTTGTTTGTTTGTGATAAATGTATTCTTACTGATTTCAGAGAGGAAGGGAGAGGGGGAGAAGGGAGAAATAGAAACATCTATGAGGAGAAACTTCGGTCGGCTGCCTCCTGCCCCTACTGGGGATGAGCCTGCAACCCGGGCACGTGGCCCTGACCGGAATCGAACCTGGGACCCTTTAGTCTGGGGCTGAGGCTCTATCCACTGAGCCACACCGGCCAGGGCCTTGTTCCCCCATCTTGGCCGCATCTCCAAGGCCACCTGGTGGACGACACACTAGAATTAGCATCCCTAGGCCGGCGGCAGGAGGCAGGAGTGTCGTACTCTGAGGTGGGGCCAGTTCACCCCCACGTGGCGCCCGGGCCGGGATGGTCCCGGGTTCATCTCAGACGCGCCCTCCGCTCTCCCATGTCTCCGCAGCGTGCCCGCTGGACTTCCCGGCCTTCCTCAGCGAGTCCCTGGAGGTCCTCTGCCTGAACGACAACCACCTGGACGCGGTGCCCCCCTCGGTGTGCCTGCTGAGGAGCCTGTCGGAACTCTACCTGGGAAAGTAAGTGCGCGGCCCCGGGAGGCAGAGTGTCCGACCGTCCGTCCGTCCATCCGTCATCCACCTGCAGACACCGCCAGGGGGTGGGGGGATGTCAGGAACGGGACTTAGTCAAGGACCAGCGGGAGGGGACGCAGAGGGTAGGGATGCAATGCGGCCGCCTCGGCTACTCTGCTCAGTTATAAAGAGAAGAACTGCCCGGCCGGTGTGGCTCAGTGGTTGAGCGTCAACCTATGAACCAGGAGGTCAGGGTTCGATTCCCGGTCAGGGCACATGCCCGGGTTGCGGGCTTGATCCCCAGTAGGGGGCGTGCAGGAGGCAGCCGATCAGTGATTCTCATCATTGATGTTTCTATCTCTCCCTTCCTCTCTGAAATCAAGAAAAATATTTAAAATATATGTATGGTGGGGGTTTTTTTAAGAGAAGAACTATTCATTCATCCTTTCCTTTACTGAGCACCTACTGGCAGGCACTGCCCCGGGGTTCAGACAGTGTGAAAATCTCCATGAAAATATTAAATGATTCAAGTTGCTCTGCCTTTTTGAGAAGAGGTAGTGATTGAGCATCTTTTATTTTTAATATATTTTTATTGATGTCAGAGAGGAAGGGAGAGATAGAAACATCAATGATGAGAATCACTGATCGGCTGCCTCCTGCACGCCCCTTACTGGGCATCAAGCCCGCAACCCGGGCATGTGCCCTGACCGGGAATCGAACCAGTGACCTCCTGGTTCCTAGGTCGACGCTCAACCACTGAGCCACGCCCTCAGGCCGTGATTGATCATCTTTAAGGTAGTGACCAGACGAGAAAGTGGGGGGAGGAGGCCCAGTACTAAGCCACAGGGATGTGCAGAAGGCAGGGCTGCCCTTCCCACCCCCCCTGCCTTTCCAGGGAGAACGGCTTTGGGATGCGGGTTTGAGTGGGATGCTCAAACTAGGGGCCCACGATGTTGGGCTCGGGGTGCAGGCTCTCGGTGGCCCCTGCGGGCCTCTGAGGCTGACCGGCTACTGCATGTGCGTGTGCGTGTCCTGTCCTGTCCTCAGCAATCCAGGCCTGAGAGAGCTCCCTCCCGAGCTGGGGCAGCTGGGCAACCTCTGGCAGTTGGACATCGAAGACCTGAACATCAGCAACGTGCCCGCGGAGATCAGGAAAGAAGGTAAATAAACCGACGAAACAGAATGGATCCAGAGACATAGATAGAACCCATGGAACAGCCTGCAGAATCTCAGAGTCTCTGAGGGGAGGTGAGGGTGCGGGGAGGCAGGGGAGAGAGATTAACAGGGAACTTACAAGCATACATGCATGGCCCACGGACACGGGCAAGAGTGTGGCCAAGGCTTGGGGGGGCGGGTGCAGGGAGGAGGGGGTGAATGGGGAGAAAAACACAATAACAACAACAAAAAACAACAACAAAAGGGACATCTGTAACACTTTCAAAAAATTAATAAAAATCGGGCCCAGCTCGTGTGGCTCAGTGGTTGAGCATCGACCTATGAACACGGAGGTCACAGTTTGATTCCAGGTCAAGGGCACACGCCCGGGTTGCGGGCTCGATCCCCAGAAGGGGGCGTGCAGGAGGATTAGGGTTAGCGTTAGACGTAGGGTCCGACGCTCTAGCCACTGAGCCAAACCGGCTAGGGCAGTGGTCGGCAAACCGCGGCTCTTTGGCCCCTTGAGTGTGGCTCTTCCACAAAATACCACGTGCGGGCGCGCACGTACAGTGCGATTGAAACTTCGTGGCCCGTGCGCAGAAGTCGGTTTTCAGAAAGGAGTTAGACGAAACAAGTATACAAGACGAGTGTGGATGGGAGAGTTGGAAGGGGTCGACCTCAGCGAACGTACCTCCATCAGATTGAGGACGTTTTTAGCAAAGGCCAGCTTAGGAGGACCCTAATTAAGTTAATAACAATGTACCTACCTATATAGTTTAAGTTTAAAAAATTTGGCTCTCAAAAGAAATTTCGATCGTTGTACTGTTGATATTTGGCTCTGTTGACTAATGAGTTTGCCGACCACTGGGCTAGGGCTTCCATTGATTATTAGAGAGAGTGGAAGGGAAGGGGAGAGACAGAGAGAGAGATATCGATGTGAGAGAGACACACTGATGGGTTGCCTCCCTCCCACACAGGACCCCGGCCGGGGGTGGGCTGGGGATCGAGCCTGCAACCGGAGTCTGTGCCCTTGACTGGGAATCGAACCGGGGACCCTTCTGCTCGAGGGCCGGCGCCCTACCCACTGAGCCACACTGCCCTGTGCTCTGTGCCCAGGCCCCAAGGCCATGCTGTCCTACCTGCGCGCCCAGCTGCGGAAGGCGGAGAAGTGCAGGCTGATGAAGATGATCGTGGTGGGGCCCCCGCGCCAGGGAAAGTCCACGCTGCTGGAGATCCTG